GCCCTTCTGAGAAACGCCTACCATGAAGTGTATAAGGTGAGATAAATTCCATCATTTGCAAAGCGGCCTATATTATAACTAGAAAATACCTTGTTCACCCATTTAATGGATAACATTCCTAAAAACTACCTGTCTTATAGATTTCTGCTTATCCCATAGACAGGAGGAAAAGACTAGATTGATTCGCAAGTTGCTTGGAACTCATTCTACAGAACGACATTTTCTTGAAAAACAAATAAGCTTTCAGAAGTTGATTTAAGTTTTGACTGATAATGGTGGTGGTGGCGGCGGCGGTGAGAGATTATGCAAAGAATTGAGGAGGCCTATTGTTGACTTTCCTTGTCTAAAGAAACAGTGGGATCAGAACATTTCGAACCTCTTATGGGAAACGAAATTGGTTTCGGACGCTTCAAAAATCGGGCATCCATTTGTCTTGAGTTTAGTTTTCTGCATGAATATAAAGAAACAGCGGAAACTAAGCAACTCTTCGCTATAGCCAGGTCTCGATAATTCTGTGGATAAAATTCCCTTAAAATAGGCCATTTGCACGATGGCGTCATTTTACTACTACGACCAGAATTCTTTTTGTTTTTCCTTTCACATTTAAATTTGGTCATCCCAGCGAGGTTTAAATAACAGAAGCCCTAATTTAGACAAGAAAGCATAAACGCGAAGGATTCTGGTCGTAGTAGTAAAATGACGCCATCATGCAAATGGCCTATTGAGTCAAAGGGAAAGCAAAATCCTAATTTGAGTTTACCCTGGGAACAGGCTCCCAGGCGGACTTGGTTTGACGGGACAGGGGAGACATGGGAGCCTCTTCTACTCCCCTCCCCCTGCCTCCTTAATTCCCTTTCCCTTCTCCCCGTTCATTGTCGCTTTCTCGGCTTTTCTTAGCTCTGCATGTCCCATGTTAGAGAAATTGTTCAGCATAAGTGGGTTGGGTATGATCGTGCAATGTGTTTATGTCGTAGTTTAAATTTACTCGTGGTTTGGTTTTTGTTTTCTCTTGTTTCAAATTCAAAAGAACAAACAAAAACAAGACTAAAACAGACTATTTCTTTGTCTTCTTCTGAACAGAGAAAGCCTGAAGTCTGGCTGTAAATCTCAAGAATCAAGGTTTTACAGTTTTATCACTCTGGATGTTGTCAAATGTAGTACAAAGTTAAGATTTCTACCAATCTAGATATGTAATAAAGCAATTACCTTAATCACGTAGAGGTAACTAAAGGTTCTTTTTATTGAACATGGTACGTGTACATTTTGACGAAGAAGTTTTGTTACCGCAAAACTTTCCGGAATTTCTCCTTAAAATAATGGTACAATAGCTGTTGTCATAATTAGCCTGCTGGGTAAATAGCTCAGCCATAACGGTTTTAACGACCGGTTATAGCCCTTAACATAAACCCTGATTGGGACTTGAATTATAGCTGTTTTTATTACTTTTTTGTATGCGTATTATAACTGCAGTGTTTTCAATAAAAGAGGAATACTTTCGACTGACAAACTGTTTCGTAAGAACTTCTTTACCGTCTGCTCCGATAAATGCCTATCTTAGGGTACCTACTAAATACAAATTCTCTTTTGCCAAATATCAAACCGGTCAAGTTGAGAATGAAAGATCAGTCTTTTCTCGAAATTTTCACTAAAACCCATCAATGCTGTGCAAACCATTTAGGAATAAACTGCACGATCTGACTGGATAGACCTGATTACCGTAAATGACGTAATAAACGCCCGGGGCGTCTATTTATTTTAGAGGTCCAAGCTGGGACGTTAGGCGTTTATTCTCGTAACTTTAACGAACTCAACAAAACTTACAAAGAATGCTTTCGNTTACCGCAAAACTTTCCGGAATTTCTCCTTAAAATAATGGTACAATAGCTGTTGTCATAATTAGCCTGCTGGGTAAATAGCTCAGCCATAACGGTTTTAACGACCGGTTATAGCCCTTAACATAAACCCTGATTGGGACTTGAATTATAGCTGTTTTTATTACTTTTTTGTATGCGTATTATAACTGCAGTGTTTTCAATAAAAGAGGAATACTTTCGACTGACAAACTGTTTCGTAAGAACTTCTTTACCGTCTGCTCCGATAAATGCCTATCTTAGGGTACCTACTAAATACAAATTCTCTTTTGCCAAATATCAAACCGGTCAAGTTGAGAATGAAAGATCAGTCTTTTCTCGAAATTTTCACTAAAACCCATCAATGCTGTGCAAACCATTTAGGAATAAACTGCACGATCTGACTGGATAGACCTGATTACCGTAAATGACGTAATAAACGCCCGGGGCGTCTATTTATTTTAGAGGTCCAAGCTGGGACGTTAGGCGTTTATTCTCGTAACTTTAACGAACTCAACAAAACTTACAAAGAATGCTTTCGGCGAAAATTCAGTCCATCTAATGATATTTCCAGGCCGTCGTTGACGCTCGTTTTCATTGCTGAAGCTTTTTTAAAACAAGATTACTGTATAGTTAATATGCTTATAAGTGGTGTATATAGGTAGATCTGTAGTAGTGGTGTATATAGTAGGTCTGGCAAAAGGTAAGCGCCCCTATGTCTGTTTCAACCGTCCTGCTACTTCCGTGCTATGCTGTCTTGACTTTACCAAGACTTGAATCCCAGACGTTGCGATAGTGGGGACGGCGCAAAAACAAAAAACAAAACAAAACAAACAAACAAACAAACAAAAAAACAGAACAGGTAAACTATCCGGACGTTTGGCACTCAGTAAAGTAAACCTCTATGTCGCGGCAAAAAACACAGACATAAAAAACAGGTTAGTCGATTTTTAAAATGTTTTCAACCTAGAACACATGAATTGAGTTGCTTCGCCGTTCCATACGGCAGTATCACTATTTGGTTTTAGACGTTCCGCTAATGCCGTGCTGAAGTCGACAGTAGCACGTCGTTTGAAACGGGGCTTAGATTGCTACCTTAGCTCGTGCAAAGTTAGTGTTCAAAAGATAGAATAGTTTGTCAAGCCTTCGCCTCCTGTGGCGTCTGTGTTTAAAAGTTCATAAAAGTCAAAGCGATCAAAACCAACATTCCGCATAGTGTGGTTGTTTGTGGCATCTTCACCGACGCCTTGGAGGGATCATTGCACAGATCCCCCTGGCAACATTTGACATCACAGTTTTTAACTTGGATTTGAGGCATAGCTTCAAACGCTGTCTGCAGCGCCCCGCAGGTTTGATCCTTTAGAAAGCTGCATAAAGACATCACGGAGCAGTTGAGGACAAACATTTGGATATCCGTAAGGGGGGCGCCTGGGATCGTTGTGTTTACGGATAACCTGACATCTGCGGTGTAACAGGAATCGGCCAAGCTTCCTATATTTGGATCTCTGCTGCAATCTAAGCTTTCAGTGGGTTTGGAGCAAAAGGTCAAGGTTCCCGAGTTGGCATTAACATTTGCGATGTTGTTGAAGTCTGGCTTACACTGGCGGCATTTTATGCCCCAGGCTGAAAAAGAATGAAAATTAAAAATTTGTAAAGGCACAGCTCGGTATTTACTCGATTAAACGCCGCACTCGAATGAACGCCTCACCCGATCAAAAGAAAGCGGCGTTTATCGAAGATTACATTCGAACCCCGTGCTTAATACGGACACCTCGTTAAAAGGGACACTGAGGAGGGCCATAGAAAGTGTCCGTGTCAACGGGGTATTCGTATTAAGCGGGTTGAATTTAGAGAAAATGTGACGGCTTGCTTTCCCCAGGGACGGATTTAAGCGCTGAAGCACACGCACCAACTTCGCGGCCAGTACCTTACGCATGCGCAAAACCATATCACCCCGGCAGTGGCAGCCATGGACAGTTGTTTCGCCCTTATTGGGAAAACTGTCCGTAATAACGAGGTGTTTAAGCTGTTGTCCGTAAAGAGGGGTTCGACTGTCAGCGGTAATGTATAAAAAATCATGATTGACTTATCTCCGCGATGTTGTGTGCTGAATTCCCATAAGTACAGTACATCTATTTAAGTTAGTGAGTTCATGTTTTGAAAACCGCCGCCACTGTGACTTGTGAACACTTAAACTTATCAACGATTTTTGTGGTTAGTCTCTTTTGAGGGTTAAGCTGTCCTTTGAATGGAGGTTAAACCCAGGTTTTTGGACCCAGAAAAAGTGTCCCTTTTCCCTACAATAGAGTCAACAAATACAAAGATTATGCGAACATTTTTCCCGGACCAAATTTTGTGTCCCCTGAATGGAGATGTCCCCTGAACAGAACTGTCCCAAAGGAGAGGTTCCACTGTATCTATCTTTCTATCATGTGGAAAAAAAGAATGGTATCACCTAGGTGTTCAGAACAGGAAACTAAAATTCTTAATGGAAAATATATAATGCAATATATAAAGAAGAACCTCTATTTAACGAGCTGTAATACTATGTATAACGAAGTCCTCCTTATAACGAATCATATCCTTGGCCCCTTCAAAAGTAAAATCGTGGAAATCGGAACCTGTTTATAACGAAATCTCGTTTTAGCGAACATATTGGTCTTATTGCCAAAAATACTGAGATTTTGAGAAAATAATGGCCGATACGCCCACGAAACTTTCGGGGGCAATATTGGGTGCCATCTCCTCTAAGTAGTTGTCAGACGGCTTTGATCACGGGTTGACGCCCTCTCAGACCTCTCCTTACGTCCTGCTTTGCATTCGTCGAACGCGCTTCAATGGCTCGCTTGCATGGGATCTTCACATCGGCTGCAAACAGGCTTCCGCGTAGAGAACGATTTATCGTTCCACGAATTGCCATTGCTAAGAAACGATAAATTATCGAGCTCGAAGGCAGATAAACGACAATGAACACAACATGGAGAGATGGAAAGGTTATTTTTCGCCATAAATTAACGGCATTTGTACTTTTGGTACAGGGCAATGGAAACCCAGATCAGATCAATCAATCCTCTAAAATCCATAAATCGACTGTATAAGCATCTACGGTAGAACTTCTGTATAAACGCTTGTCACCCCTGTTTTGGTAATAAAACTACTCTAAGAGTAAAATAGGCACGAAAACGTGTAAATTTGTTTTGCAACATTGCTGCAAAACGAGATGAATAGTGATGTTGCGAGTAATCAAACCCGTCTTGCACCAAATCAAGTTGTTTCAAGGTTGTTTCAAGTTGCGTTGATGCTGACTTCTGATTGGATAAAATTACGCGGGAGTCACGCCATACACGGGAGTTTGGTCACTTGCAGCAAAACAAGTTTGCCCTTAAGCCGGTGAAACGGGCAACATGTACAGACTCTGTTGTAAAAACTGAACTATTTTCTACCTTCTGCAACAAACTTTTCGCAACCTGCAACAACCTGAATTGTCGTCAGACAGGTTTGAACGTGGCTGGTAAAATGCGCAACATCGCTATTCAACTTGTTTTGCAGCAATGTTGCAAGACAAGTTGAAGGTTTTTGCCTGTTGCCCGTTTTATCGTTGCTTATAAAATCTCGTCTGTTTCGATCCGATGCAAACCTTGATGATATCTTCGATCAGACCGTTGCATACGCGGCAACTACGGGGGGGGGGGGGGGGGGGGGGGGGGGGGGGGGGGGGG